GATAGGGTAAAGGGGACCATAAAAGCACCCTCTGTGTCTTTCACATTAAGGCAACAAAATTTTATTCTGTTAATCGTAATTCCTGAAAGCTTGAGTGATTAAAACGTTTGTCAACGTCTAATCTTCTGCCAGTTTTGTTTGTTTCGTTGTTACTAAGCCTCATAGACCATAGGACTATGTAAGCTACGGGTACGACTCTAACAGCAGATAGAGGCACGCGCAGAACAGAGAATCTGGTAAGCATTTGGACACAGATTAATGTCCGTTTTTCAGCTTGAATTTAGCTTTTGTAAAAAAAAAAAAATAAAAATAAATAAATATATATACATGTGTTACTTGAGAATGAGTATAATTCTAGTAAAGTCACGGTAGTAATTAATACACGTACGTACCTGGTACATGTATATATAATTTTATTCGTATGATGGCTTGGTATTTGGTAGCAATTATGAACAAAGTTCCTCTGTTTCTAATTTATAGTAACGAGACACACTATTTTGGAAGCTAATTGTATATGAATTTCATGATATGGTTCGAACAGTTCTAAAATTTTACAATTCTACATTGTACTGTGACACATTGATGCATAGAACTGCATATAGCTAGTTTCATTTTACTGAAGTTGTTTTCAAATCTTGGAAATAATGTACAGTGTACATGTAATTGAATATATAGTTCCTGATGTTCCTGATATAATCTCGAAAAATGATGAAACATCGTTTTATTTTAGTAAAAATTTTTGTTCAATAAAACCTTGTTTAGCCACAGTGGTTTTTATGCTCCAAATTCTGGACGTTGTATTTTCAAATACGTAGAAATGAAGAACATAAGATAAATGCATATTATTGATGCTCCATTATTTGTACATAATGTATTCCGATGCTGATAAATATGATAGCCTGATTCGGTTCAGATCATTTTGTTGAAGAGTATTGATTTAAGACAGTGTTTATAATAGCCTTCATTATGCATTTGATATGTCCTAATTTAGTGATTTCTATCTGTTGTGAAGAAAATACGACTCAACAGTTGATATCATGACGATATTCGCAAGACCTAGTGCCACATGTATTGGTGTATTGCAGACAAGGCCCTTTTGAAGTTCTGTAAGTAGTTGATGAAGCTGGCATGATCTGGCATGTAGTATGATGCAGACAAGGCCCTTTTGATGTTCTGTAAGTAGCTTGAAGAAGCTTGCATGGTTTGAGATGTAGTATGATGCAGACAAGGCCCATTTGACGTTCTGTTAGTAGCTTGATGAAGCTGGCATGGTCTTGCATGTAGTATGATGCAGACGAGGCCCCTTTTCAAGTTCTGTAAATAGCTTGAAGAAGCTGGCATGGTCTAAGATGTAGTATGATGCAGACAAGGCCCTTTCAAGTTCTGTAAGTAGCTTGAAGAAGCTGGCATAGTCTGAGATGTAGTATGATGCAGACAAGGCCCTTTCAAGTTCTGTAAGTAGCTTGAAGAAGCTGGCATGGTCTGAGATGTAGTATGATGCAGACGAGGCCCTTTTCAAGTTCTGTAAGTAGCTTGAAGAAGCTGGCATGGTCTGAGATGTAGTATGATGCAGACGAGGCCCTTTTCAAGTTCTGTAAGTAGCTTGAAGAAGCTGGCATGGTCTGAGATGTAGTATGATGCAGACAAGGCCCTTTTCAAGTTCTGTAAGTAGCTTGAAGAAGCTGGCATGGTTTGAGATGTAGTTTGATACAGACAAGACCCTATAGAATTCAGTAAGTAGCTGGAAGAAGCTGGCATGGTTTGAGATGTAGTTTTACAAAGACAAGACCATATAAAATTCAGTTAGTAACTTAAAGAAACTGGCATGTTTGAGAGGGTTTGATACAGACAAAACCACTTAAAATTCAGTAAGTAACTTGAAGAATCTGGCATGGTTTGAGATGTAGTATGATGCAGACAAGGCCCTTTTCAAGTTCTGTAAGTAGCTTGAAGAAGCTTGCATGGTTTGAGATGTAGTTTGATACAGACAAGACCCTATAGAATTCAGTAAGTAGCTGGAAGAAGCTGGCATGGTTTGAGATGTAGTTTTACAAAGACAAGACCATATAAAATTCAGTTAGTAACTTGAAGAAACTGGCATGTTTGAAAGGGTTTGATACAAACAAAACCACTTAAAATTCAGTTAGTAGCTTGAAGAATCTGGCATGGTTTGAGATGTAGTATGATGCAGGCAAGACACTTTCAAATTCTGTAAGTAGCTTAGATGAAGCTGGAATGGTTGAATGGTTCATCATGCACATTGATCAAAAAATTATTTTTGAAATTTTTAAAATTTTCGAAAAAGTTAACATTTTTGGAATGTAGTATTGACTAGTATATTTAGCCAAAGACCTTCAAAAGACCTGTAAGTATCTTGATGAAGCTGGAAAATTCCGAGATGTATGGTTATGCAGACAATTCTCTTTGTTGTATTTAAGTATTTTTTCGAAGTTAACATGACTTTAAATATAGTTGCTTTCTTGTCTTTTGAAGATGTGTAAAATTATAGTATCTCATTGAAGCAGGAAACTCGTTTTATTGATAAATACAAGTACATAAACTTCAAAAGATATACAAAAGTGCAATTTGTTTGAGATGTATTTGCAGACATATTTGAAATTTCAATTGACAAAGCGAAACTACTGTGCTTGCGTATTTATATTTTAATAGCCTAACTACTAATATAGCATTGTCTTGTTTATTCTGTAAAGGAGGCCAAATTGTAACTGTGCTTCTTATAATCACAGGCTCTGCTGGATTGGATTCTAAGCGTTTAGAAAATAATTTAGGAATAATAAAGCAGTTTGATATCACAATCTGATTTTGAAATTTTTGAAGCAAAAGTTTTTTCAGGTATCTTTATTCAGGACACACGGACCAGATGTTTTGCAAAACTTTCATTGAAGGAATTGTCTGAAGACTTCCAAAGCTGCGTTTAAAATCAAGGTTCGGACAAATCACCTCTAGTCAAAATCAAAGAGGAATAATGTTTACATTCTGGTAGGTGTAGTTCAGTTCATTTGTCCTATTGCTAATAACCAAGAGATGTTTAGAAAAGGTTAATAATAATGTTTGATCAGATGATTATGATTTATGATTGATTTAAATTTATTTTGTATTGTAAAAGTTATTCTTATGTATCCGGAAGTCACAATCTTGTACAAGAAACAAAGAATTCTGTAAGCACTCAAACTTTTAAGTTTATATAAGTAATTTTATTCTTCATAGTGTTTTAACGGGGTTGCTATCTGAACTGCAAATGCTGATATGTATGATTCACTGATAAAAATCAACGTAGAAGGCTTTTTGAGTTCATCTGAAGACGTCATGGTAAAAAGGAAAAGAAAACTCTTCAGCCGGGAAGGATAACTCTTTAATTTAATGATTTATTCAAAAAGTCATGAAAGTCTCCAAAGGAAGCTTAAAATTGAAATCTTTTTATACAACAAATTGAATTTCATGCAACTTAAGGTTCTTTAATACTCTGATAAGAGAGATAACTCTGAATGACATAAATGTCTAATATTCCTTTATAGATTTGCAAGTTGAAGTGTCTTTTTTGTCCAATTGAATGTATTTTACTTATAAATACATTCTTTTTTGGAAAATCATTAGGTTCAAGCAACATTTTATACCAGTGAGCAGACTGAGTGTTTATGAATCTTAATGTAATTGAAAGTTCTTTGAACATTTTTATACAAATGTCCTCGATCTAGCCTTAAATACCAATTTTTAAAAGTTTGATATAAATCTATAATTGATTTATGAAGTTTTGCATTCATAGCAAACGCTTTATAAACTACAGTATTTATGCATAATAATAATTGTGCAGTATACATAGAAGAAATTAAAGTACCACAGAACTCAGTATAAAAATCTGTGCAGTTTTCTTCAATTGCATGGAAACCTATAGTTTTTAACATAAATACAATTATTCAAGGCCTGGTTTGAAATAAGTAATAATTGGATTACCTTGAAGTCTTGATATCTAGGGGTGGGGTCATACACGTTTTGATAATTTTATGTCAATGCTTTCTTTATCGTCGAAGTCTGTTGCACTCGCGCATGCGAGCTCATCCTATATAAAGTGTTTTTGAGTTTTATTTATAAATAATTTATGTTCGTTTGAACTGGTGAATTTAGAACATAAATATATTTATAAAAGTTATGGTAAAACACGTGTGTTTGTTTTGTATGCAGATTAAGTCCATCGATAAAGGAGATCGATTGGTTGTTTATTTGTTTACGGGTGAATAGGTTGAATCCGTGCTACGCATGATTCAGTCACGTATAAGGTAGATTTTCGGGTGTTTTAAGTTATTCGAAGTTCGCTGCTACATTGCAACAGACTTATCCCCCGCCCCACCCACCCCTGCCAGTATGATCGATATACTGTACATGTTAAAATGTTCGTTTTAATGTTGACTGTCGCTTTATTTGTTTCTTTTTCTTTTGTAGAATGATTTGGATTTCAGAAGTTAAACTAAAGACTGTGCTTTGTATACTGTATACACTTCATTAAAGTCTGTTGCACTCGCGCATGCGAGCTCATCCTATATAAAGTGTTTTTGAGTTTTATTTATAAATAATTTATGTTCGTTTGAACTGGTGAATTTAGAACATAAGAAAGATTTCACACTCACCGGTTCACTAATCTCCTTATTGTTAGTTTGATACTCGAATTAGAGTCATTTATCCTATAAAGTTTCGTTATTTCTGGCTCGCAAGCATGTTTCCTACACTCGCAAGCATGTATCGTCTGTCGTTTGTTGTTTTCAAGTAAGCTATATCGGACGCAAGCTTTTATTGACGTCAAGTTAATTCCGGTTCTTTCAAACGCGCAACTGACGTTTTGAGAATTCTACGGTGAACCGTACGCGCATAATTTCCACGCATGTGGCATTACCGTTGTGTTACCCGTTGTCACGTGTGTTGCTAAGGCTCAGGGTAATCGAACGGATTGTTAACTGTGTCTAAACCAATTAGATTTTAGTATTTAAGAGCAATTCTCTGTAATCACCAAAGTAATTCTGAAAGGGTCTGGCACGCATAGTCTCAGATTTTCTTTAAACTTGGCATATAGTATCTTCATAGGGTAAAACTTATATGCATGACATAATTTTTTTCTGGACACCCTCTGTTACCATGGTAACCGGGATACAAATTTTCTGACCAATATGGCTAATTTGTGTGTGGCAATCTTACGAAAATCACACATTTTACACCATTTGTGCTGAGACCATATTGAGGATTGTACCTTTGTTACTAATATTTTATTAAACTACAACATCAATACTTTCAATAGATATCTTTAATTTGTTGGAGAGTTAATTGATAATTTTGTAATACTTTGTCAAATAATAGCAAAATATTGATTTTTCTAAATTTAGTCAAAACTTAAAAAGTACAACATTTTGGGAAGAAAAATAAAAAATTCGCAGCACTTTCACAATGTATCACTTACTTCATCTGAAGGTACTTGTCACATATAATGAAAATATTCAAAAACTTTCATGGGCAAATTGCAACAAATGTTGACAATAACAAAATGAAAAATCATAAAATTGGCATTTTGCCAAAAAAAGCTTTAACGTACATTTCATATAACAAGATACAGTTTTTTTCTTTTTCAAAATTTTTTTAACAAATATAGCTTAAAATCTTTGGTAACAATGAGACTTTGTCAGCCAACTCATAAAAAATATTTATATTCATATCTATAGGATAGAATATGATCATAAGTATAGATACCCCCCCCCCCTTCTAGCACACTACAAAAAAAACACTGTTGCTGCTTACTGAAGCTTATAAGGCTGCATTATACTTTCTAAAAGATTTGTTTTTTTCTATTTATGAGCATGATACAAAATACTGCGAATCTGCAATCCAAAACAGAAATAACTTAATATACTGTAGTTACTTGCTACACACAAATTATAGCACAGTACTGCATTAAGACAAGTCTCGTCAGCTTCTAAAAAAAATTTTTTTAGGAACCTCTAATTTCAAAATTGTCAATAACAACACATTTTAGGACATTTGAATTAACAAGCAGTATAATATTAACTTTAAGGAACTATAAACAATTATAGCAAAAAACTCATCTGTGGACATTTAAAAAATACCGTTATATCATATAAAGGTATGCATATTGAGACTATTTAGTTCATTTTCAACAAAATGGTACCTTTCAACAGGAAAAATGTTCAAAGACAATAAACCATTCATGAAAGTAAACACTGTTATTTCTTTTTGGGAAAATTAATGTAAATATTAATTCAATTACATATTCTTGGTCTAATATAATGCTTGTAAGATTATTTTTAACTTATTACAAATTGTGTAATGAACTGTAAGCAACCATTTTTTAACAAACAGACAGACAGAGAGACAGATGGACAAATGGAAGGGAAATCAATGGTCCCTTCTGTCTTCACCGGTAGGAGACTATCAATGTACAATTATTAGTAATTTCGGTTTTAAAATTGTAAAGTTTTGCATTACGTCACAACTTATGATGTGCTCAAGGTAAATAGTACATGCCTCGTAACCCCAAGCTTAATGACTGGAAAATTCTTCTAATCCCTGATTGGTTGCTCGTGCAACAGACTATTTCCATGTCATGTTGATAATATGAGTTGACAAATCACACAGCCGAAAAGTCGGATCACGACATCACACGATAACGTAAAATCAACAGTAAAATTGAGTGATATGCATTAGGTTAATAATAAAGATTGTGACGTAATGCAAAACTTCACACTTAACTGAAATTACTAATATCTACAAATCAATGGTCTTAGAAATTTCCTTTTTTAATTTTGACTTAATGTCTTCATCATTTGCAGCCTGCAAGTCATATTTGTCTGACTTCCTGTCTTGTTGGGCAAGCCTTGAGAAGAAACTCCCTATCTGTTGAGCCGTCAGAAACTCTTCTTTAGTGAAGCCATACCCACCTAACCTCATTTCCTCAGCAGCAGTGTAGGCATCCACCTTGCTTCCAGTTCTTTTGCCTACATTAAATTTCTCAATCATGTAGTTTTTTTGCTGTTGACTGAAAACAACTCTTCTCTTTTTGTTTTTTAATGCCCATCCCAAACTTTTGTCCTCAAGCTCCTCATCCTTAAATACCTCAATTGCACTTACATCTGGACAAATGGATGATGCTTGTGACAGTTTCTGAGAATAGATTACTTTGGCCTTGTCACTTAGTGGCTCTTTCTCTAGCTGATATTCACAATTCCCCTGCATAAGGTGGTGATCTAAGCTTTCTTTGTTTTTGAACTCTCGGATACAGCCTTCCATTGGACAAATTAAGTTACTCTTGGTTTGCTTCAAAAGGACTGCAGGTTCTACAAAAAATAACATGTAGAGAGTTACATGTAGATCACTTAATTTTGCCTTCACTTTATTTTGTTCTCACAAACTACTTTTAAAGGATGTGCTAAATTTGTTTGTTTATATACATGTATCAATAGTTAGGTTTGTGATATTCAAAACATGCATATAGATGAAACAGACCCAATGATTCTGACATAGGGAAATGTAAACAACTCTAGCAATCCTGTATGTATCCTCACCACTTGAAAGGACATAATTACCTTCAAGACTAATTGCAGTTACGATGTCTGTCCAGTCCTTTATGACCTTCAATTGGACACAGTTCTTTGAAGGCTTTAGAGTTTCCCATGATGAAAGTTTACCTGTAAAATATGACAAGATCTTCAAAGGAACAAAACTATGATGTGTTTACTAGTCTATATTTGTAACACTATAGTTAGAATTATCACCTTTAAAAAATTCAACCTAGGTTTATATGCAATAAAACAAGATATTTTTTGTGTGTATTTATAAAGAAAGCTGATTTGCATCAATTTACCTTCACCTATATCATATGCTTGCCACATTCTCAGTCCGTTGTTCTCAAAGGCAAAGTTATAGAAACTTGAGATGTTCTTTATGCTCTCCTTGTGTTTATCAGCTTCAAGGTCAAGAACAACATCAACAACTCGCACACGGTATGCTTTTTGTCCCAACTTGTCCAGAGCCTAAAAAACAAGAGTATCATAAATGGAACATAGCCAGTCCACCATGTGTTATCTCAAATCTTGTTCGATTCATCAAAGCCTACAGCAACCTTGGAGCTATGACTCAGGTCAAAGTCATGACACACTGCCTTGTCATGAGGATCAAATGTGCCAAGTATGATGTTGCAGAAGTAAAGAATGTAGAAAATTTTGCTCAGAAAAAGAAATTCTTTCGAAGTGACCTTGAACTTGGAGTAATGTCCCTCTACCTTGGAGGTATTGACCTTGGGTTAAAGTCAGGGCAAACCATCTAATTAAGGGGATGAAGGACCTTTAACTGAAAAAATACCTGTCATTTAATTTTTTTCATATTTTGTAAATATCTTATTTAGTATGTCCTACATACTATAAAGCAGACATATCAATAGGTTTCTAGACTTATTTCTGAGATATTGAGTGACAAATACCATACCCCACAGTGTCTGAGCGGAGTTTTTATTCTCCGTGTTTCTGGGTCCATTACTAGGTCGATAATTGAAATTTTTCACCATAGATAAAAAATATAAAAGCGGAAATGTGTCTTTTAAAATATTTTAGAGTATGAATAGGGTTAAAAATTCAAAAAAGAAAGATTCTTTTGTAACACCATATCTGGAGACGGAAATTTACGACTTTTTTAAGACAACTTAAACCATATAAAAATTAATTTGCAAAAAATCTTATCATTCAATATTTGAAAATTTACGTCGAAGTTCAAGGTCGTCATTGTATTGATTAACTGTAAAAATATCGATTGGTGAAGCTGAGCTCAATATTGCACGGGACAAAGTTAAACGAGTCATGATCATGAAAAAAACGTGTCATGTTTACATTTCTCGAGTACGGGAAAACCCAACTATGACGTCACACATTCCTGAAATAAGCGAAATAAGACAAACCCACAGAACATTTCCGTCAACAACCATGTAAAAATATTTTTTGCTTTCTGAAATTTACAAAATACCCTACCATGTACATATTATGGCCCGTTTTTATGATTTTATACTACCCGTTTTTACCGTGTATGATCTTACTGAACTAAGAGATCCACTATGACGTCAAAGACGCACTGGACGCGCAGAGTAGGGAAACGGCAGAGTGGATTAATCTATTCCGTAATTTGATAATATTTGCAAGAAATAAAATGTTTTCAGATATTTTTATACTTGATGGTGAACGCAAACAAACAGTCAAAAAAATTATACAAGTACTGTGGTTTCAATCTCGTTTTGTACATATTTTATCAGAGATTATGACGTAAATCAACTGAGTCACGTGACCATACATCCTTCATCCCCTTAAGAGGAACATTTTTGCCAAGTATGATGTAAACTTCAATCATGTATACATAACCAAGATAAAAGCGGATAGACGGACAGATGGATGGAGAGACGTGGACATCATACCATAATATGACCCATATAACAACAGGCATATGAAAACAAGGGGTCCAATCTTCCTTTAGCACCCACCTGAGAACTTTTGGAATTTTTATAAGTCCAGAAATGTGAACTGCAATCGAATTAAAGGAAAGTTTTACTTCTTGAAATCAACAAAACCCCTTTCTACATCCTAATTTGAATGGTATCAAGTTATCATCCTGAAAAAGCTGTCATGCTCTTAGGTTTCTTTACTTTGACCACTTGAAATTCAAATTATTACCGATACATGCCGTGTCAATTTCTGATTTCTGACTGATGTTGTGATTTCATAGCATCACTTACTTTTTTCATATCTACTGCTGTTGTTACATCCCTTCCTTCATTGACATACTTCTTGATTACAAATTTTGCATGTGCCGCTTTCCTGTCACACGGTCCTGTAGACACAATACAAAGGGAATTAAGAAAAAATTTAAAGATTAACTGAAACCTTAGACATCAAGTATTGACATTCTACAATTATGCAGACATTCCATTCAGATCCCAAAAAACTAGTACTATTTACCTGTGGCATTCAGTTTTGTCAAATACATGTATTTTGGATGGATTATGAGATAAGAAGTCATGGTATACCTTGAGTCTTTGAAAGTGAAAGACAAATACCTTTTGAGTTTTTGAGTAACAAAGAAGTGTTGATCAACAGATGAGCATACTAATAGACAAAGTTATACCATAAAGCTTCTGCATTTGAGATGTGGGGCCCTAATGAAATTAAAAGTACCTTTTCCATTCTGGGACTCGCTAAAATTGTATGTTTTCAGCTGGGGTCCAACGTCATGCCGGAGAGTGGACAAAGTAACAGAGCTTTTGTAACAACCAGCATTGTCACTAAAGATGTGTACTTTTTGCAGATTAGGCACGGTGATATTAAGGTCTCTAACGACATCTGTCAGTACTGCTGTTGTTGTTGCGGCATCTTGAGATGTTTGAGACTGGAAGATATGAAGATGAGTCAAGGTCTGTAACCTATTTTCCAACTTGACAAGGGAGACTGACACATGCCAATTAATACCACGTTTGGCAAACCAGTCTTGTTGGCCTTCCCTATATCTCCTAGGGAGAAACTTCATCGCCCAATCAGTTGTAATCATAGCACTGTTTGTTTCCAGACTGTCTGCTATGTTCTTTCTTGCAAGTTCTTGATTTTTTGATCTCACAATGTGCTTTTGCAGCTCTTTTATATCTTCAATGGCTTTTTCTACCTATAATTTGTTAAAAGAATAAGATGTTATTCAATTTCCAAGTTATATTGTTTTTTGACAATTTCTTGGAGATCTGAATGTTAAATGCAGCGGTACATGCATCCCAAGTGAAACCACTGATTGAACAATTAGCCGAAATATGAACTTTCATTACCAGATGAAATACATATCAAATACATTACCTTAAACATCAGTGCATCTTTATTATTGACTTGTCTTCCTTCTACCACCTGATGAATTTTCTGTAGTGTTCTGTCCAATTCGATACAGCTTTGGCAGTGGTGATTGTGCATGTGTGGACAGTGATGCCGGAACTCACATCCTGGGGCACTTAAAGCAAATCCTAAGCAATGCTGAAGAACATCTGTTTGCTTTGCCAAATGTACCTGAAACATAGTAGACATTCTCAACAGTTGAAGCTTGACATGATAAGGGCAACAACTTCATACATGTACCAGGTATAAAAGGTGACCTTGAATTTTGACCTGGAAAAAAAAACGATACTGCCTGGGCAGCCATATTTGTTTATGGGCAGCAAGGTAAAGGACCCCGAGTACAATCTTTCTGCCATGTGTCATTGAAATCCCTACAGCCGTTGTGGAGGAGAATTAAAAATGTGAGAACTTAAACCTGTCAGATAGATAGAGGCCTATGACTATAGCTCACTTAAGCCTTTAGCTCAGGCAAGCTAATAATCATCATCAAAGTACACTGTGACCTTACCCTTGAAGTTATGTAAAAGTACACTTCTACTGCACAATGCATTCATTTTAAAAGACAATGCCTTCAAGTTGGTATTTCTAATGCTCATGTGCTGCTCAAGGTCATACAAGTCTTTTACTGCTTAAATTACTCAGCAATTAATTCTGATGACAAATGATTGATTGATTCTATATTGTTTAACGTCCCTCTTGAGAATTTTTCACTCATATGGAGACGTCACCGTATGCCGGTGAAGGGCTTCAAATTTTGACCTTTACTCGGCACTCAGGGTCATTGAGCAGTGAGGGTTCTTTATTGTGCAAACACCTACCGTGACACGGGACCTATGTTTTGGAGAATATACATGTATTCTAAGAACATTTACCTTAAAATCTGCCTTCAAGTATCTTTTTGCTTCCATAAACTTTGTTTTCAGATCTTTTTCATTGAGGTCATCTAAGGTCTCTTCTAAAGCTTGGAAAGCTCGAGATCCTTCCATAACATAATTGTCAAGCCCCTCTACACTTTTCCTAACTGATGCAGCACAATCTGTCAGAATCTTGTAAAGAGTACTTTTTCCTGAAATGATTGTTTTGATACTATTTTACCAAAAAAATTACAAAATAGATACCTAAACATCTCTAATAATAATATTCTAGGATTCTTGTAATAATTATGTATTTCTTCTGTAATTGAGATATCTACATGAAAATAATTACATGTTTTTTCCTCTCATAAACATGATAAGGTACATGTAGATTATTCCTACTAAATTTGATAAACGGGAGTGTCTATGATATGGCTTTCACCATGCCAGAGAGCAATTTCCAACAAAGTTAGCTTATGACCTCTGTTAACCTTGGAAAAACAACAGGCATTTTCTTATCACGTTGGCCATGTTAATCAGGTTTAATGATCCAAAGGATCAGGTATTATTGTAATCTTGGCTTTTTTCAAAAGTGTCCACAAACAGACACACAGCACGATAGGATCTACCATAAAGCTTCAATACAGTAGCTATGCACAAATATTAGATAAGAATGTGAGAATCATCAAGAAGTGTTTCAATGCAGAATGTTTGGTGCCACATTTTTACCTAAAGGTGTTGCACCCTCCTCTTCACAAAGCTGCTGGTATTGACTTATCACGGCACTAGATGATATGCTCCTGATCACATTTGGAATCGTTATCATTTCACCTGAATCTAATTTCAATGTCCTTTGTCCATATGGCAAATCTTTGACAACTTGTGTTGATGTAATGAAGTCTATAAAATGATCTAAACTTTCCACACTAAATCTCTCTCTTTTCTCTGATTTTTCCTTAACTGGTACACCAATACCTTCATTTGCAGCATGCTTTTTAGCCTCGTAAAATCTCCATGACGTTAGTCCTGGAATAAACTGAAAAAAAATAACAAAAGAATATAAAAGATGTTCAACAGACAACATAACTCACATATCAGAAGCTGCTGCTTCCAAGGACTTGTTTTTAAAAAGTAGGTCATACTTCAAGGTCAAAATTTTTGTTCCAATGAGAATGTCTTGTCATGTACACATGATACATTTTAAAGCTAGATCTTTTTAAGGTTAAAAAAATACCATGGCCAAGTTTAAAGTTTTCCAAAAGATGTCTTGTTATAGAGGATACATATGTGAAATATAAAAGCTCCATCTTTTAGTGTTCAAAAGTGTTGGCCACAGTTAAACTTTTTGTTCATGCCCGACGCCGACAGATGGACGGACATTGACGGACAGGTAGACGCTGACTCTAGGGCTGTGACATAAGCTCTATGGGGAAAAATTGTAACTAACCAACCCAAATTTCATTTGACTCAACAGAATTTATTGTAAATTAGTGAAATTTAGTTTAGGGTTAAGGATTTTACTTTTAGTGTTAGGCATTTGGGTTAAGTCGTTAAGGGATATCTTATGATGACTAAAGTTTTTGGATTTGGGTTGGTTCTATTTCTTTCAGGACGTTTGAATAGTTCCAATTTCTTAAAACATATCTACTCCAGACATTCCTCCAAGCAAGCTAAAAATACTTACCTCTTGAGCTTCTTCAAAAGACATCTGCTGAACAATAATAGACAGCACTTGTCTTCTAAATTGCCATGTTTCTCCTTTGGAGTATATTTCTTTCAGGACATTGAGACTCTGGTCATTTTCTAAATCTTCTTTTTTCTCTTGGTCTGCCAGTATAGACTTCCATAAAATCTCCCCCTCATTTGGAGACACTGTCTCAAGGACCACAGATATACACTGTTTAGCTTTCTCCAGATAACGTTTCTTTGTTCTGTCACTGGATACAGTCAAAGGATTTGTGAGCTTTTTAATTGGACTCACATCACACTGAGCCAAGAAAGTATTAAGACTCTCAAGTCTAGATATTTTCAAAATGGAAGCCTCAGAAATCTGGCTGTCTGTAATTGATTCTTGACTGCTCAGTACTGAACTAACATTACTCTGTTGACTCAAGTGTTCAGGATTATCAGGATACTGAAAAATAATTAAGGGCAAGTACTTAGTCAAACATGACTCAGATATCTGCATGTCAAATATTTCAACTGTATGTTAGAACTAAACGTAGGGATTCATTGCAATTCAATGCAAGCGACATATCAAAAACGAAGAGCGAGATGAAAGGTCTAATTTGGATTCAATGTAGGCTAACTAACAGATTGCTAAATATTATGAAGGCAAAAATTTATCTGATTAGTTTAGTCCAACTGGTTTACTAAAATAATCTCTTACATGTACAGGCATACATTTTCTCTTTGATATCTCATTCCTATCAAGTGCACTTTCAGCAGATGCAACAGCACTTTTCTGAAAAACAATGTAATTAGAAAAATAGAGTGTTTCAGGGTAAATATAAGTCAAGTAAGGTTTAGGTTTCAAAGATGTATACATACATGGACACAGAACAGACGAAATATTTTTTGTCCTTTTGCTTTGCGTTCACTAGGGCTGGGTATTGGCCCGAGATTTCGTATTGCGATATATTGCGATATTTGTAACTGTATCGCGGTATGTATTGCAATATTTTAAATGTAATTTAAATGGCATTTTCTTACTATATTTAATTTAATTTACATGCAAAATGTACATAACTATGATAAGTAACCAACACTGACAAAAAACTGTTGATTTCATTAAAGTTATGTTCTGAAAAGTTCCCACAAAACAACTTCTGTCGTACTGTTTGGCTTAATAACAAACTTTCATGAGTCCATTTTTATATAATTATACCTGGCAATGACAAAATTCCTTAATCTAAGCATATTGCCAATATATCGATATTACAAAATCGTATTGCGATACGATATTTTTTGTCATTGTATTGCAATATATTGAAATATCGATAATATTGCCCAGCCCTAGCGTTCACCAAAAAAATCCTTATCCTCTCTATATAAACACACAAATATCAACAGGGAACATGTGTGTCGTCTGTCACTGACTTTATCCATAGCATTATAGACAGACGGATGGATGCCATACAAAGTGATCCCAAAGTGTCCCCCTGCTACCCAGGCGACACAAAAACTGGCATATATTTTTTAATGTTGCATTATATACTCATTAATTACCAGACATATGCAACATCATTTTGATTAATGATAACAAAGTGAAGTTTAAAAATGTAGACTCACCCTTTTCCTTGTACCATAAGTATCACCTTCTTCTGATGGTATGTGCTCCTCATACTCTGGAAGTGCTGGACTCAACTCCTGAAAAATAATGATGGACTTATCTCTTCTGTGCAACTTTTGATATGCTTTTCATAACTTGGGTCAATGGAGTTTAATCAGGACTGTACACATTTCAGCAGTGTAACACTTTAAAGCTTAAAATTGGGTTTGGGAAACTCACTTAGATATGCTTTATATCAAAAATCATTCCATATTTTTTTTAATTCAACTGCTCCATACTTAGATACATGTACTTAGGATCTGCCAGAGAAATGTCACAGAACCCCTCAAGTAGATTCAAGGATTAAACATGTTAAACAAAAGTGTTCAAGAAATGTGTGTGACCTGCAGGTGGCTTTTTAAAAAGTGTAACAGAGTGTGATTATAGACAGTGATTCCCTAGTATCCGTGATGTAGTAACCGTGCCAGATTTTTCTACAAGTTATCACTGTGAAATTTATGGTTTGAGAAGGAATCAGTAAGAACAAATTTTTTTTTAAAGTAAACTATTTGTTTGACTAAAAAAATTAACAAGTCTAGTAGTATACTTAAATTAGTATCTTGAAAAGTCTACCTACTATTGCAAAATATACATTTTTTGTGTATCTATATACAATGTACAGTATGTTTATACTTACTCTTTCCTTTGTGGCATAAGAGACACTTTTATCTGCTTGTAACATGTGTAAGTGTGCATCATTTTCTGGGTTAGACTGCTAATATATGCAAAAAGAGAAAGTACTCATGTACAACTATGGTTGTGATGTGCTATAAAAATAGTGATACATATAATTTATGTATTTTTTAAACTGCACAAAAAATCTGATATTGGTTTTTTGTAGAGATTAAATTGATTTTCAATATATATAGCTGAAATCTGAATTAAGGAAACATTAATGGACTTACGCCATGTACTTCCAGTCCTGGATCCCTCTCTTGACTGTAGACTTGTTCCCGACAAAGTCTGCAAATAGCTGTAAAATATGAACATGATGAAAATTTTATTTAATTAAGTTCATTTATGGTACAACTTTGTTTGCACTTTGTTTCACTTATATGAACGCACCTCATTTGTGAAGAGTGCCTCAAATTTACATACTCAATGCATCAAAGGGAACTAGAGTGCTTTTTATCAATGAATTTTTTGAAATAGATCAGTAGATTCCTTTTTAATTTTGACTTCAGAGTACCTTTAAAAGTCAACTATTTCAGCAAGTTTGGAAAAGGGAAGTGCATATATCAGGTAAAATTAGTTTAATAAGTAGATTAATGTAATGGATTCTCGCCTGGACCCATAAAGCTCCAAATTACTTTGATTGTGCCCCTGGTGAGATTTTTAAATAAAAAACTCTTTGGAAGTTTCCATAAGTTAACCTGTTAAACATAAATTTGCTATATTGTCAATGATTATACTTACGAGTTCCTACTGGAATGAAAACACCAGTGTTTCTGGCTATTTGGATGAACATTTCACCAGAGACATATCTATCACCATTTTTTTTTTACATTTATGTACATTAAATATTTGTCCATATGTTGAAATGTCACATATCTTCCTTCGTCTTCTTCTTCTCAAATTTTCAAGGATACTTTCCCTATGCTGCAAACATATGGTCAATTTTTGTATAAAATTTGATGGCAACAGACTAATTTCGGAAAGTATACAAAGTTGTTCATCATATTCAATGTCCTTCAGAGGAGAAAGTTCTCCTTTGCAGGTAATTTGCAAGTAAGAAAATTTTCCCTTTAAGTAATCATTGATAGAACACATTTTTAGGACTTTTAAGGCCAAGTCAGATTTCCCGTTTCCACCTACATAACTGTACAAGTTTACTTCCAGAATTTCCTCACTTCAAATCATCGATGTTTTAGTCTGTATCATTGTGGAGGTAAAAGCAAACTTCTGGCAGACTACAGACATATCAATGTAAAAGAGTTCCGTTAAAGGGGGATAATTCAAGTGTTGCAATTTGTAGTACAAGAAGGCTTCAGTCATTACATGCATGGAAGCCAAAAAATGGAGAAAATGTATACATATTTAGCATTTGTGATATTTATAATTACCTCTTGTCTTCTCTTGTATTAATTCTTGGTCCTTTTCCTTCTTCTATACTGCCAATCCTCAACCGAATCTGCTTTTAATAAGTTTTCTCACCAAATCATTTATTTACCACTACAAGTGCCTACATATTGTACCTCCAAGCGCTAGAGAGTAATCCAAGGGAAGTAATCGGGAAGCAAAAAAAGCTTCAAAATGCAGAAAAAATGGAAATTCACCTTTGAATTTCTTTTACACATATCATTTGCCCACCAATTTTTTATTTGTTTGAATATAATCAAATATCAACCTTTCATGTTTTCTTATTGCTTAATTTGTAGATGGCTGCATTTTTTTGTTTTAAGTCTGTAAAAACTGAGCAAAATTTACTCTATTTTTGACATTTTGCAATGCATAACATGACCACTTATGAGTGTAAAATTAAAATTAAACTGTAAACATTGTTGATTGAATCTCTAGTATTGGATAACAACAATAAACACAAATATAGATATCTCTGTTCATTTCTAGACATGGTTTTTCATGAAAAGTACAGATTTTCATGATTTACAAAAATCAGAAAGTTTGTATCCCGTTTCCATGGCAACCAAGGTTACAATTCAAAAACTATTTTTAGAATTTACAATCACTCACACACCTGTATTAAATTATGATATAAAAATTTAAATCTGTAACTATGCGTGCCAAAATTTTTTGGTGATTACAGAGAATTGCTCTTAACATGAAAGTATGATAATAAATAATGTATGTGTTTATTACCTCCTGATGATGTAGTCGTTGTCTCATTAAGTGCTGAGTTCGCTGAACCTTAAATTTAAAAATGGACGCCTGAATTACTTGAAATATCAGTTGTAGAACGATTATGATATTTGCAAATGAAAAAGATGATATCTTTTTAAGATAAAAACGGCTATGGAGAGGAATTTAAAAAAGAGTATTTGTAAAAACAAAATCCATTTCAATCTAATTCATCAAAATTTGTATTGTTTTTTAATTCATTGAATAATGAAACTCATTTCAAAATATTTAGAATAATATTGATATGGTTTGCATCTTCCTTTTCAAATTATTCTCTTACAATTATCAATTCAAAGTGCATTGACAATTATAATTTTCTGTGAAAAGATGGTCTTTTCTAATCACCATGGCTTTTTCACACTATTTCACAAAACAATTTTCCACATAATGATTACTATAGCAGTTTCGTTATTTAGACAAACATTTATTGAAATGTTTAATACTAAGACTAAACTGACGAAAAATGTATGTTTATTACCTCTTGATGATATGGTCTCTGTCTCATTATTTGATGAATTCGCTGAACCTGAATAAGAGAGAGAACGCCTGAATTACTTGAAATATCATTTTACCAACAAATAAACTATTTAAAACATTTAGAAGAAATCTGATATTGTTTGCGTCTTCGTTTTCAAAATATTCACTTACATTGATTAATTCAAAGCGCATTGACAATAATGAATTGGTTTCTCTGAGAAAAAAATAATTGAAGATATGGTACAACGTGTTGTGGGGGAGAGGTTTGTTTTGTTGTTTTTTAATACAAAAACGTCAGTTTGTTTTCAGTCTTTAACAATTTTTAAGAGGCGTTCTCTAATCATCATGGCTTTTTCACACTATTTCACAATACCATTTTCCATATAATGATGAATACAGCAGTTCCTTCAATCAGACAAAAAAAAAATTGGAATGTTTTGTACCCAATACTAAAACAACGAATAATGTATGTTTTGATTACCGCCTAATGATGTGATTGTTGTCTCATGAAGTGATGAATTCGCTGAACCTGAAGTTTGGGAGTGGACGCCAGATATATCAGTTTTAGAACGATTATGATATTTGCAAATGAAAAGATGCTATCTTTTTTAGACAAAAACAGTAACAGAGTCCGATAGGAATTGAAAAGGTAGTTTTTGCAACAACAAAAAAAATTCAATCTCATTCATAAACATTTGTATTGTTTTTTTTTAATGCGTTGAATAATGAAATTCATTTGAAAATATTTAGAATAAATTTGATATTGCTTGTATCTTTCTTTTCAAAATATTCATTTATAGTTATCAATTTAAATTTCATTGGACCATTTACGGTAGCTCAGTCGGTAGAGCGCTTGCTTCGTGATCGGGAGGTCGTGAGTTCTCGTATCTCGGCCGCGACTGACCTAAGTCGAAAAAAAAGGGTAGCAACTGTTCCTTCACCATGCGCTCGGCACTTTGAAGTGCAAGTTGAGGGTCCTTCGGATGAGACCTTAAAAACCGAGGCCCCGTGTCAGCGGCAGGCGTTGGCACGATAAAGATCCCTCACTGCTCAATGGCCCTGAGTGCCGAGTAAAGGTCAAAATTTGAAGCCCTTCACCGGCATACGGTGACGTCTCCATATTAGTGAAAAATTCTCGAGAGGGACGTTAATCAATATACAATCAATCAATCAATCAAAGTGCATTGACATTAATAAAATGGTTTCTCTGAGAAAAGGTGGTCTTTTCTACTCATCATGCTTTTTCACATTTCACTGTACCATTTTCCATATAATGATTAATATAGCAGTTTCTTTATTTAGACAAACATTTATTGTAATGTTTAATACCAAGACTAAAACAACGAATAATGTATGTGTTTATTACCTGCTGATAATGTGGTCGTTGTTTCATTAAGTGATGAACTCGCTGAATCTGAAGTTTAAAAATGGACGCCTGAATTACTTGAAATAACAGTTTATGAACGATTAAAATATCTGCAAATGACAAAGATTCTATCTTCGTACATGTAGGATAAAAACGGTTATGGAGAGGAATTGAAAAACTAGTATTTGCAAAAAGAAAATCCATTTCAATCTCATTCATAAACATTTTTAATGATCTTTTTAATTCAAAGAATAACGAAATTCATTAAATTATCAATTCAAAGTGCATTGACAATAATAAATTGGTTTCTCTGAGAAAGAAATAATTGAAGATATGGCTTTTTCATACAATTTCGCTATACCATTTTCCATATAATGATGAATATAGCAGTTTCTTTATTTAGACAAAAATTTATTGTAATGTAATTTATACCAAGACTAAAACAACGAATAATGTATGTTTTTATTACCTGCTGATGATGCAGTCGTTGTCTCAATAAGTGAATTACTTGAAATATCAGTTGTAGAACGATTATCATATTTGCAAATGAAAAAGATGAAAATGTTTTTAAGATAAAAACGGCTATGAAGAGGAATTTAAAAAAGAGTATTTGTAAAAAAAAAATCCATTTCAATCTAATTCATCAACATTTGTGTTGTTTTTTTTAATTCATTGAATAATGAAACTCATTTAAAAAGATTTAGAATAAATATCATATGGTTTGCATCTTCCTTTACAAAATATTAACTTACAATTATCAATTCAATGTGCATTGACAACAATAAATTGGTTTTTCTAAAAAAAAAAAAAGTGGTCTTTTTTAATCATCATGGCTTTTTCACACTATTTCACAATATCATTTTCTATATAATGATGAATATAGCAGTTTCTTTATTTTGACAAAACTTGACTGTTAATACCCATTCTCTGTAACCACTTAAACTTTTGTGGCACGCATAGTCACAGGTTTTTTTTTCAAATTTGGAGGGAAAGTACTACCTCATAAACTACTTCAAAAAGTTAGATCATATGAATGTTGAGTAGTTACCACGGAAATGGTGTCTAAAGTTGACTTTTTCTGAAAAAATGCAATATTTGGGAAAGTTTTTAATGAAATGCGACTACTTCAATTCATGTTACTCACAGAAATAAGAAAAATTACATCTAATCTTAAAAGGCATGTTAAAGCCTTGTTGGTATTCTCTCTATAAATATGAGAAATCTTTGATTAAAATAACAGACATTAACTTTGAAATTGAATTATCTCCCTTTGATAATTGTGAGCTCTTAAGTGAGAAAGATAAAAAAAATCATTGTACAAAAATGACTGGAAGTTGTTTATATAGGGTCAGCATACAGCTCTGTATGTCCTGGAATTCAAGTGAAATCAACTGTTTTTTCCTGTTTATTTAATGTGCATACAAATATTAGCCTCCGTTTATTTCCTACATGCAAAAGAATAATTTTGATATGTGAAAAATGGTGAAATGTACAAGACTAACGTTACATAGTACAGGAAATCAGCTCTGTACATAAGCATTAGCCTCAAGGTCTAAGGAGTTTCAAAACGGGATTCAAGATAAACTTGAAATATCCGAATTACTAGTATTATGAATTTGGTTTTTAAAAAAGAATCACTGTGTCTCACGATCATTCAGAGTGATATACTGGAGGACTTCAATGAATACGGCGTTAGAAAGCAAATGATTTTTTAAACTGAATGTGGTTATAAAGACTAATAATCTTTTAAAACTGAATAATATGTCCTTGGCTGAAAGGAAAAAAAATCTATACTGAATAATAGCTTCAATTCCCATCCACAGGTCGTTATTTCAGCAATAATTTTTGAAACCCATAGTGTAATACGTATTATACATGTATATGGGTTAAAAAATTGTTACCGATATAAGCCCCCCCCCCTTTCCCAAACGAAAAAGAGTTTGTGCATTTCTAGGTCACCTGAGTAAACTCAGGTGACCTATTGCTATCCGTTTTCGTTCGTCGTCGTCCGTCGTGTGTCGTGTGTTAACATTTGAACATTTTCAGCTTCTTCTCTGCAACCACTGAACCAATTTCAACCAAATTTGGCACAAAGCATTTATGGGTAAAGGGAAACATAAATTGTGAATTTCATGATCCCTGCCCCCCCCCCGGGGCCTGAGGGGTGGGTCCAAAACCTTTAAAATTAATGCAATCTTTAAAAATTTTCTTCTTTACTCCTGGACATCAAGCAGTCAAACTGTTTGCATGATTGTAATTAGCATTGAGTCCTCTACCAAAATTGTGAAATTCATGGCCCTGGGGTCAGGGGTTCTAGTGCTAGGGCGGGGCTAAATGAGTATATAGTGAAAATGCATTTTTTCTTTGAAAATCTTCTTCTCTGCTCCTGGGTATTAAATAAACCAACTAAGTACATAGTTATGATGAGCAAGAATGCCTCTACCAAAATTGTGAATTTTGTGGCCCCAGGGTCAGGGGTTCTGGTGTTGGGGGGGGGGGGCTCTATTTATTATATAGTAAAAATAAATGAATTCTTTGGAAATCTTCTCTGCTCCTAGGTAATAAATAAACTAACTAAGTGAATTGTTTTGATGAGGTAGAGTGCCTCTACCAAAATTGTGAATTTTATGGCCCCAGGGTCAAGGGTTCTGGTGTTGGGGGGGGGGGGGCTCTATATTTATTATATAGTGAAAATAAATGAATTCTTTGAAAATCTTCTCTGCTCCTAGGTATTAGATAAATAACTAAGTGCATTGTTATGATGAGCAAGAGTGCCTCAACCAAAATTGTGAATTTTATGGTCCCAGGGTCAGGGGTTCTGGTGTTGGGGGGGGGGGGGGGCTCTATTTATTATATAGTGAAAATAAATGAATTCTTTGAAAATCTTCTCTGCTCCTAGGTATTAAATAAAAAAAATAAGTGCATAGTTATGATGAGCAAGAGTGCCTCAACCAAAATTGTGAATTTTATGGCCCCGGGGTCAGGGGTTCTGGTGTTAGGGCGGGGCTCTATTGATTATACAGTGAAAATACATGAATTTTTTGAAAATCTTCTTCACTGCTCCTGGGTATTAAATAAACTAACTAAGTACATAGTTATGACGAGCAAGAGTGCCTCTACCAAAATTGTGAATTTT